AGAGCAAAAACTTAATGAATAAATGACTTGTCCCATCATCAAGTGGAATGATAAATCTGCTTCATAACACTTGCCAATGATGAGGGTGTCTGGCTTTCTTGAACCCCTTGATGAAAAAGTGGCTCGTGAAATCTGTTCACTACAAGGTGTCGCTGCCCTCTGCTGTCTCTTCTTTCATCCGCTCTCACCCTGTCCTATTATTTCAGAATTGCAGTAAATTAAGCGGGAGAAAGCCTGTTGTCTGATTCTCTCATCTGCATGCCTTTAATAAGGCTTCCCCAAAGGCAGAGTTCAGACTCTGAAGCTTTTGATGATGAAGACAAAGCTCTCATGTGCCTGGAAAAGACAGCTTCTGTACACCCTTTTAATGTTGTTGGTACGCATGTTGGATATGTTGGATAGATATATATGGTGCTCATCATGTGGACCAATGTTTGCAGCATGGATCTGTCTGCCTGCTGCACGTCATGAATTATGGAATCCGGCACAAATATGCAAATCTAAGCATTAGCCTAGTTATGGCCCTGTACTGTAAGTTACAGTGACTTATCTATTATGAATGAACCAAGGATTGGAGTGAAGAGGTCCTGGCAGCCAGCTTCACGGCCCTCTCTCAGTTACTCATTTTCACATCATGAAAGAACATGAATAGCAGGGGAAGTAGCTCCAAAATGTTAACTTTCTGCAGCTCAGCATCTCCAAAGACTTGGGAGAATTAGAACTTGCTTCCATGCTCAATTGCCAAGCTACTTAAAATAACAATGGCTTCCAGAGGATTTGGAGGCCTGGGAGATATGTAGGGAATAAGCATGAAGTTGTTGCTAATCCTCTAATTTCCCCCCACAAGGCTGATATGAAATGCTAGTCTGATCAGTAATCAGTCCACGGGGGAGGCAGACAGGGGATCCAGCCAATTCTACAGACACACACACACATAAATCAGCCTCTGTATGACATTACCATCACAATGCTGGATGAGTGATTGTACTTGGGTGACCTAATCACAGGGGTGTAAATATCCAAAATCAAAAAGCCAGCAGAACTGAGAATCCACTAGGTCAAGAGGCTCAGTTTTGAAATCATGTGCATATTATATCAGGCTGAGAGCATGACGAGCGATGTCCTACGGCTCCAAGATGAACACAGTGATCATTAGGCAGGATCAAAGTCGATCACAAAGCACATGACAGCTGACAACTTCTATTTAACTGGGTGCAGGGAAATAATGATGCCTGGGCCTTGTAAATCTTATCACTAGCAAGTCACTCCATTCACGATGCTAACATGAATAAACCACTCCTTCACTGCCCCATATCAGTCAGGAAAACAGCCTTCTATATTTATTAAAAAATAAAGTTATACCTCCGTTTAATTGATGTATTTTATATTATATTCTTTTTCACAACAACACAACTTTTTGGGCCTAATTGGAGACAGAGAGCTTCAGGCCCCTGGGTAGGAAGAAAGCAGGCTAACTGATGACTAAGAGCAACCACTGACAGCAGATGGCCTTATGAACTCTTAGCTGCACTACATAGATAAAAGATTGTTTCTTACTCTTTCCACATTGGGAACTTTAGAAGATTCATTGTGCCTTGGAGTCTGTATTTCACTTTGAAAGTAGCAACCACTGAGCTCGGCTGGCTAGCTTGCTATAGCTAGCTCAGCATGCTAACAATCGCAGCAATTCTCTCTAGAAATGTCTTTTCATGCATGTTATGTTCACACCTTCAGAGTTTCTGGCGGCTACTTATCACTCTGTGATGTTTTTTTCACATTGTACCAAGGAGACTAGTTAGCACCTGTCATAACTGTGCAGTGGGGAGTTCTGCAACCTCTTAACTCAGCCTGTAATTCCAGGATGCAAATCACAGGAAGTAGCTAATATGCAAATGTATTCAGCAGTGCTGAGAGTGCTCAAATCACAGGTGCTACAAAGCAATGGCCAACAATACCTCCAATCTGGTTACCTGCCTGTGCAATATGATAGGGCTATCACCTTTCATAGTGGATACAGAGCCACATATGTCAGTGTGTGTCTCGACAGCTATGTATCCGTTCTGCTCCACACGGATATGGGTACACTGCTGGGGACTGAAGGAAGTGCAGCTTTAAATCTGAAGTTATTTAGATGGGCAGTATCTATTGTGGCTAAAAACTGTTGCTGTTACACTTAGTGTGAAGCGACATAGTTACAGAAAATAATCTGAATTACACTCTCCACTAACAGTCATTGCTGTATAATTAGCACACCAATCAGGCATTTCTGACAGAGTGGCATTTTGAAGCCTTTTTCAAGCCATTTTATGACAATTAAACAAGACTTTGGGTCACGGTCAAGGTTAACGGTGCGATCGTGGCTCAACAGTTGGCAGTTCGTCTTGTAATCGGAAGGTTGCCAGTTCGAGCCCCGGCTCCGACAGTCTCGTCGTTGTGTCCTTGGGCAAGACACTTCACCTGTTGCCTACTGGTGGTGGTCAGAGGCCCAGAGGGCCCGGTGGCGCCAGTGTCTGGCAGCCTCGCCTCTGTCAGTGCGCCCCAGGGCAGCTATGGTTACAATGTAGCTTGCCGTCACCAGTGTGTGTGAATGACTGAATGTAGTGTAAAGCGTATTGCGGTCCTTAGAAACTAAGTAAAGCGCTATACAAATACAGGCCATTTAACAAACATGCATTTCATACATTTCATGATATTGTCCTGGCCAGTCTGGCCATTACACAAGCATAAATTCCATGACTTAAAAATAGAGGATGTCACCATACAGTACAAGAAATCTCGATTAAAAATATTGTTTTTGTCACAATTGTTCACAAATAAAAATAAAAATTAGGGATAAATAGTTTAATGGTTTCATTGACATTTGACTTTGATACAGAATTTAGAGCCTTGAGGCTGAATTGTGCCAATTTAAAAGCATTTTTTTAAAAAGTGTTTCGTAAAAGTTGGATCTCTTGAGGGAAAACCTACATCCTCTCACAACCACACACACACAAACACATAAAAGCCAAAGCCTGGATTTCATTTGCATTTTTAACAAAAGTCTCATATGCCTCAGCTAATAGTTTTCATCCTTTAATTCAGCGAACATAACCTCATCAAATATTAACTCTACGCTCGTGTTATTTTTTATTGCTCTTGATTAGCAAAACTTGAGGAGGAGAAAATTCACTTCTGTTTTATTGTTCTTCTCCTCCTCCACCCCACCCCACCCCTCGTCCCCCGCTTTGCTCAAGTGGAGCCAACTGGATAAACTCCATCAAACACAAAAAAGAAAAAAAAAATGTAATAACAGGCAATTGAAACTGTTTCTCTCCCACCTCCTCCTCCTTCTTCTATGCTTACCACACGAACCCCTCACGCTGTGGTGTAAAAAAACAACTGACCCTGCGTGTTTGTCCACTCCTACACCACAGAGACACCTTTTGTTTTCTCTGCGGATTTAGAAATCATAACCGCCTCCCTATCTCACCATTGTCTTTACAACCTAACTCGTACACGCTTACTGTCAAGATGATCTCATAGACCACCCGGCTTCACTGCTTTCTGCAATACTTACACGTTTGGTTCGAGCATGGAATGGAGCAAACAAAATATCCGTTCTGGCTTAGCAACAGATGCACAGTCACCACATTCATGTTGATTAGTCGGGTATGAAAATAATGAGGGTGACCCCTTTTTCATGTCAACCTTTTGCCCTTTAATTCCAATTTTCTAGCCAGCTTACAGAGAACTCATTGTGTAGCATTTTCACCATTTCCATACATTTGCCTCTTGATTAATAAGTGTACATCTAGAAAGCCTTTTTTGCACGCGCTCACTATGTATTTCAAATAAAATCTTTAAAAGGGGGATTTTCAGTGGAAAAAAATAATAAAAAGACTACAGCACATCTCAATATAATGAGCAGTCTACACCCAAAAAGTAATTGTCAGAACATTAACACCACCACATTACTTTCCAGAGCATGGTTATGTAGCCTAAAGATTGAACCTATTTTAAATACAGAGCAATTAAAGCCCACTTGAAGCAAAAGAGATAGGACAGGGTTTCAGCTGGGGGAAAAAAGCCATTATGTTTCATTTGAATTTCATCACAGAACTTATTCCACTCAAACAACGGTTTATGCCTTGGAGGAAATCCTGCTGCTAGAAGCACCAGCTCACATAAGCCAACACCCACATGCTCATAATCAAAGGTGAATTGCACAGCCCATGGCAATTTGCATCCTGTGACGTTATAATATGTGGCTGCTGGAATTTCACTTGCTTTGGTTGTGATAGCAGATACAGGAGATGAAATGATGCCGAGGAAGGAAACAATGCCACATCAAGGCTACGTTTCCCCGAGTACAGGAGAGGGGTAATTATCATTAGCTGCTCTTGTCTGATTGAGTTTACACGGCGACTCTTTAAAATGGAATATAAGAGCTTTCAGTTTCAATCTGGAGCTGGGGGGGAGTTCTGCAAACGTCTCTGTTTGAGTTCGCATTTTAATCCCTTACAAGGAAAAAAAAACACTAACTTCGCAAATTTTGCCCCAAACTTTTAATGTGTTAGAAGTGTTATTGGAAAGCTTACTATAAATGTCAAAGCCCACAGGGTTTAGAAAAGACGGTGCTCCCGTGAGCGCTTAAAGTTAATTTATTGGATGCAGCGTTTATTTTTTTTAATTAGTTTGATCAATACTCTATTAAAAAGAATTTAAATGTGAGGTTCAGAAAAACGACGAGGCACCTATTTCACATGAGTGACTAATCATATTTCAAAATGTCAGAGGATCGGCTCGCTGCGAGGCGACAACTGGATTTGTTCGAGCTTGACAACTGAGAAATGAATCACCCGTGAATTGAAAAGAATAAAAATTCAATTTAAAAAGCAGCATCCTTTTCTCAGACGCCAGGAGATTCAAGTGTTGCATGAAAGCGTAACGCATGTGTGTGAGCTGCTGAGAAGCAGTGTGTCCTCAAAGTGAGTGGAAATCTTGAGAGAAAATCCGGTTACCTCGCACGAGGGGGGTTCGTGGGGGATCTCAGCGCGCCTCTTTGGATTTGGGTTGATCTCAGGAGCGGAGGATGGAGACGAAGACGAACCAGGGCGCGCACTTTTGCGCTCGGCGGGTCCGCACGGGAGAAAAGCGTCCGCCTGTGCTCTCGGCCACTCTCATCACTGATTCACTGGAAAGCCGACACGAGTGCAGGAACGCAGTCCTTGTTTATTCAAAGTGGAGAACTCGACTCCGGTCTCCTGCTCACGTAGACGAACCCCGTGGATAGAAACGCGGGCAGAGTTGTGCCCGAGCCACTGCTTTGCGTAGCAGACAGGAGGGAGCGGGGAGGAGCCGTCTGCCGTCAGATGATCAGGGAAAGGTGCTCTCCTCACTGATGCTCTGCAATCCTGAGCTTTAAGGGAGAGCTCCAGCTCAGACCCAAACACAATAGCCTCCCACCCTAATCGTATTTATTATCTATAATTCGTTTTATTCTCTCTGTTTTGTCAGACTTGTGCCTTTCTGTGACTATAGACGATTGGGTTTGCCTAATAAACAATAGGCTTTACCATTATAGACAATAATTACATGCCTAAAGAAGACAGAGCAGTGATATTAAACTGTTATATGACTCTATATTAGTACCTTGAACAAACAGCAGATATGCTGGAAAATGCGTAACTTCAGTTTCAAACAGACATATTATACTTCCAACAGAAAAATTCGACCAATGCCATTACACTATTCGCCCTATCACATTATTATGAGAAATGTGCCCAAGACAAAGCACTAAAGGAGCGTTTCTTGAAAGCCTTGGCACCAGACTTAACAGTAGACTGATTTACAATCTATACATGAGGCCTTTTCTTTCTTTTCTTGATTAAAGTCTTGGTTCTGTTAGAAAAGAAGGGTGATGAGTTGTCTAGTCACACTGGAAATCAGACGTGTTTATAGCCGCTCCAAATGGCCATTCTGGCACAGGGAGAAGCCAGATTTCATGGGTGATCATTTAAATATGGAGATGAAGGCGCACATTTTCAGACAGTGTCTCTTGGAAGACAGTCAAAGTGCTGGATTTCATTGTTCAAATTAAAACTACCCTAAATATTAGTGAAATTGTAAAAAGGGGGGAGGGGTAATGTTGTTGCCTTTGGAAATTTAAAGAAACAGATCTTCTTATCTAGGGTTTAAAAGAAGGAGAAAAGAAGCTTGCCCCTTACTTGAACCTAAGTGTTCATATTTATTATTAAGTATTACATTTAGATGTCTCATGGTGGATGCACAGTACTGTGCAAAAATCACCATCCATTTTTTTGCTATGAAAATAGAATATAGGTGCAGCAATTTACTGAAAAATGTAAAAAAAAAAAATGTACAAACATAAATTACAAAAAGAGATTCTAACAAGCTTGAAAGTCAATATTTGACATGGTTACAATCATTCCTCAACACAGCCTGAACTCTCTTAGGCAATTTTTTTTAAAAACGTCTTCAGGAATAGCTCTGCAGGCTTCTTGAAGTACATTCAATTCTCTTCTTTGGATTGTGGCTTTGGATGTTGGCTGTTTTCTAACCACATGACCATTGATTGCTTCAATTATGTCGAGGTGACTGACTGGACATGTTCCATTGTGTGTTTCTATCCAAGTATGGATTTACTGCATTGGCACTGTGCTTGGGATCATTGTCATGCTGAAAAATGAAGCTCTTGCCAATCAGACTCGTTCCAGATGGTTCTGAATGGTGGATAATAATCCGACAGTGTATTTCTACATTTATAATTCCATCAATTTTGGCAAGATCCCCAAATCATGACATAGTTTCCACCGTGTTTTTACAGATGGGTGTAGATATGTACATTTCTTCTGACCTCCTCAATGCATGTTGACAACAATTTGAACCCAAATTTCGCATTTGGTTTCATCACTCCATAACACCTATCACCACTTTGACAGTCCAGTTCTTGTGTAATTTGGCAGTTCAGCCTTTTCTTCCTGTTTCCCTTCTTTAAGAACGGCTTCCTGACGACCACCCTTCCTCTGAACCCATTTCTAACAAGGCTTTCTGCAAACAGTTGATGGATCAACTGAAGGCTCGGGTGCATCTCTCAGGTCCTGTGTCAGGTCTTTAGTGGACTTTGTTTCTATTTTCTATTGTTTCTTCCTTCCTATTGTTCCTACTTCTTAAAGACACGACTTCCAGACACTATCCATCTGCTCCAGATAGTTTGCCACCTCTTCTTTTGTCCACCACCATTTCTTTTGTGAGTTAGGTGTCTCTTTCATCCATGAATGATTCATAGGTCAGTGTTAAGTGGTTCAACAAACAATGTCCAAAGAAAAGAAAGAACAACTTTGAAAGACTTTCAGAAACACAGGAGAACTATTGCTCAAGACAACATAAAAAATTACAAGAAAGTCTGGCTCACTGGAAGCTAATTACAGTAATGAAGACTCAAGACTTTTGCACAATACTGTATACTTCTGCAGAGATGAACATAGAAAAGTCTGCAGACGTGCACATTAAGAAAAATGATTGGTTGATTAAGCTTTTGCTGCACCTTGGCTTTCAAGCTACTGCACATATTCGTTTCAGTGACCAGCAGTCCTCATGTCATCAGTAAAAATATGCAAACATATAATCCCAGCCTATGAATAAGAGGAAAAAATAAACAATCGGTGCCTAATAATAAGACAACGGGTCACCAGAGTGTTTAGTTTAGTGTTTGTTTGTTTGTTTTTCTGATTTGAGAAAGCCCCGCCTAACACGTCACTCCAAAAACTCATGAGTGCTCAAATGGGTCGCGACTCGAGTCATTTTCGCACTCATCAAAAAGTTCGGCGACCCCTCATGCTCCTATGGATGGGCATACATGCAGAAACCACTCACTTCAGTGAATGTTGAATGCTTCATTATAGACACCTGAGTGTGTGGAAGAAATGTGAAAAGGAAGCAAATGTGTTCATCCTTTGCTTTTCTACATTATTGTTATTATCAGACACCATAGGCAACTCAAAATATACCATCTTTTTTTTCCCACCAGTAATTCATTCAGACTTTTCCCTAAGACATACATAACAGCATTAGAATGTCTGTGCTGTTGTGGTTACTGCTATTCTCTTGCTCTTCATGAAATATTTCCACATGTTACGGATGTCTCATATTACTGATATTTAGCCCGCCCTCCCCATCCCTCGTTTTAAAGCATCTGATTTTAACCTAGAACCTTTTCTAACCTCATTTACATGAGAACATAGCCAAATCAGTCAATCTCTCACCCTCTTTTTAACATCTGCACGAACAAGTCTAAAAACAGGCTCGCCATTTCACAGCTGGGACATAATGTCTGCAAAAGACAAAGCTCTTTTTACAAAGAAAGGGTCAGATATGCCCGGGAGCATCATGAGAATCCAAAATCCCCATCCATAATTGAAGTGTATGTGTGTGTCTAACATCCCCATTGACTGCACTTCCTACAGGAGGCTGTCTCAGAATCCTGGCTGTTGTAGCTGGATTCCTAAAATGAGAGCCAATGCCCGGGCAAGTGAAGGGCGCATTTATATTTCAATAGCTCAGTCAACCTTTAGAGAGAGGGGGAGCGAGGGGAAGACAGAGATCATATTTGAGTGCTTAAAAATGTATGGTGTTTGTAGGACGAAGGATGGCGGCTGTATGTAGATTTTAATACAGAGAAATGGGGGCGCTGAACAAGTCGCAGCCTAGTCAGCACCAATGGAGCTGACGTGGGAGTCTGACTCGGGGAAAAAAAGTCACTTTTAGCTCTAATTGAGCACAAAAGAGAACTTTCAAGTGACGGGGTAACAGTTTGGAGGAGTGGAAACTAAAATTCTGTCCTTCTTAATAAAATATAGTGCTGTGCTAGATTAAAAAAAAAATGTTGGGAAATGGGAAATCTAGGACCCCCCAAGGGGTTCTGACCCTACTTTGAGGAGTACTGGAGTGTAAAAGATGGGAATAGTTGCAGGCTGCACTTTGTGGAGTGCCGATGTATTTGATAATTTATCAGGTGCCTGAGCAGAGCTGCAGTGATTACCTACAGCCCACAGCCAGCCAGACACCTTAAGTCACGAGGTCTCAAGTTCAAAATGAACTTTTCACGCTGACTCAATAATATTTTGGTAGATAAAGGCAATATTTCAAAGTCATATTTAACTTTAAATTTTTAGAGGAGACTCGCACGTTAAATCTGCAGAGCAAGCTATTATTCATTGAAAGGGGATTTTGTAATGGTTGTAGTAGTTTCACTGGTATTTTAACCACTTCCCCCACCCTGGATGGCTTATATGTGACACCTCTGTATATGTAGCTCCTCTGCTGCTCCTGTGTTTTTATGTCATTTGAATGCGCAGCGTTTGTCATTGTTGTCTGTTGTGTAATCTCTTTTTTTTTTCTTCTCCATTTCACAGCCAGAGAGCTGCATTGGTGCTGTTCAGACTTGTCCCATCATGGCCTGGAAAAGGCTCCCGCTGATGAAATTTTCATTGAGCAGATGAAGCGTGAGCGTAGTTTCATAATTCCCCAGTGAGTTGCATCAGCTCGTACTGATATCGTTCTATCAAGACCCACTAAAAGCAGATCTGATGTCTTGATAGCCAGGGGAACTTATTCTGTTTGAGAGGGGGCGATCCTCCACATTGCTGGGGATTTGGACTACACATGATTGAGATGTTATTTTGGTTAGAAGTGACAGTTTCTGGTTCAGATCATTTCATTGTGCCTCAACCACCAACACAACGACGCTTTCTGGTTGATGTGACTAACTGATGACCAACTTTGAAGACGCAACAGGCTGGTATCTGTCAAGAGCAGGTGCATATTTTAATAGCAATTGTTTCTTTAAAAAGAGCATAATGGTGGGATCCATCTTCTGCTACCTCAGGGTTTTTAATCCCCCGCTGCTCCTTTATGTATAGTATTTACTTGTGAAATCCTCTAGCAGTGTGTTTAAAATTTAATGCTGACTCAAACCTGCAGACATGCTTGAGATTTATAGTTGGCTCGGTCATACATCAAGATGTTAGTTTGTTTAGGGACGCGCTAGAGATACCAATGAGTCGTTTTGCCATATTTCCTTTTTTTTTAAAAAACTATTTTCAGAATTAGAGCATCTTTTTACAAAACTTTGAACATGTTCAGTAAATTAAACAGTGGAGTAAAAACAATGCTGTGTTTTTAGTGCTTTCGGCATCATGTGCCTTTCCAAACTGTTACCAGTGTTGATTTAAAACTCTGGATGTCAATGGAAGCACTTAGTCGACACTGAGCCAGTCTTTTCTTTGCATTTCATG